AAGTGGGACTATTTTTTAAAGAAAGCATAAAAAAACCAAGTCAGATCCAATTCCTGAAGACACGTTTGTTAACGCAAACCAGGGTTTCTTTACACAGCTGTTCTTCTGCATCCAGAGGTTCCCTGTGGTTAAACAGAAGGCACTGAGATGGTGATTTACTCCAGAAACTCCTTTGTGCACAGTACTTGCCTAAGCAGTATTCTATCTTCTTTGACTCCGTTTTCTGTAAAACCAACCCCTCTACTTTTTGCCTGGATCATATCCTAAGCCACGTGTAGGGTCTTATTCTTCTGGTCCCCTTGCACCTGTCCGGTCGCAAACTCCAATGCACTGCACCAAGATGTTTCAGCGCAACACAATCCATTCTGAGCTCCTGCTTCCAACACTCTGCTGTTTTCCAGCAGAAGAATCTGTGGCAGCACGGAAGACACTCTTGTCAAGGCACGACCTTTCCCAGTGCAAGTTGAGGAATGAAAACCTAAACTAAATGGAACCTAAACTACTAAAGACAATGGAAGTTTTACCATTGATTCTGGACTTTGCATTTTAGTTTACCCTTTCCGCCTTGGCTGACAGGTTGCTATGCTGTGTCTCTATTGCTCATGGAGCACACTGCAGAACTCTGCTCGTCCTCACCAAGGGTTTCTGGAAAAGTTGGAATATGGCCCAAAATTCCTGGCTTTTTGCCCTTGACTTGGCATGCACCAATCAAAAGATATTAATACATAATCTGTTTGTCCTTTGCAAGAAAAGGGTCTGTTTAATTCTCCTAACATTTAGGGGGATTAGTAGAAAGAAAATTAGCTATGCTTGTCATGATCTGAGTACTAGAACTGTTGCAGTCTACCTTAAAAATACTGCCTGTGGTAAAGAAAAGCTACTTCAGGTGAGTACACAAAAAATATTAAAAATATCAAAGACAAATAACTAGTAAGCATTAAACAAAGCCTTGATAATTTGTCCTCCAACCTGTATGAGATAAAATGTTTTGGCTACCTATTTGTGTATTCAACTGCTGACAAGCAGAGGAGTATGAAGATAAGCAGTAGCAATGGGAACAAGTTCCCTATCTCCCCCCCCCTCCCTTTTGTGTTCCTTCTTGATTGGATTAGGGAGAAAAGGATAAATGAATTCTGTTACTATGGTGACTGCGTTCTGAGTATCAAGACAGCTTGTCTAAATGTGTCTTCATCACGTTATAACCTATCCTTTAGGATGAAAAGCACATCTCTTGAGTGCTTTTCTTGCTGTGCCCTTCCTAGACACAAGAGTTTTCTCCAATTCAACCCTTCATGTTTTAATCGTCATACTTCAGTGAATTATCTAGTTTATTGTGAAACAACACGGACCTATTCCCTGAAAGGTAAAAAAGGAAATCACACCCTTTGTTCTGCTTTTCCAGTTCAAACTTCATTATAAATACACCTGCCACCTGTAACAATATTGGAGATTCTGTGATATTTAATGATGTTTACAAAGTTCGGTCCTCTGATTGGAGATGAAGGCTGTTATGGCCCCATTTGCAGGACTTGAGATGTATTCTACAAACCTCTTCTTTTCCTCTCTGGGTCTTCTAGGACACATTAACACTCACAGATAGTAAGATCAACTGTGGTTGCAGATATCCCTGCTAAGCCATTATTGTTAACTCTCGGGTGCAATGGCCTCACTGGAAACCTTCACTGATTCTGTGTGGACAAGCAGCAGTAAGGAGCCTACTCCTGTGCCACTTTCAAAGGAGTTTTCTATCCGTTTGTTACCAAACGCAGAGCTGGACGCTCTCCTTTCATGGGCTCTTCTGAGGCTGTAGACAGTATAACGTAACATGGGAAGCTGACAGCAAATCAAACTCTGTCAGCTGTTAAGCATATACACTCTACTGTGTAGTGTAGAGTGTAGAAATAAATAAATACTGGGATAGTTATACCTAGCTGCCTTCCATACCCGGCAAAAGCCAGATTTTAGATTAGCTAGTTCTGAACTACATTGTCCATTCTGCTGCTTTCTCACTGTCATCACTGGCCTTAAATACTCAACTTGTGGATGTCAACATTCAGTCCTCCATGTTTGCTTCAAATCATGATCTGCAGCATCCGGAAAGCACTGCACGTTAATGGCAGGGTTAGGTTAATGGTTGGACTTGATCTTAAAGGTCTTTTCCAACCTAAACGATTCTGTGATTCTAAACACCGCTATGGTATTTAGCAATTGCAGGATTTGTGGGAGAATTTTAATGTACCTGGAGCTCAGCATGCTTAGGAAGGAGGCTAAAATACCTGTGGTTCACTAGTGTATTTTCTGTATTTGTCTACAGCTCTAAACTGTAAAGCACATTGCATCATTACTACACTAAATACCAAGAAAAATTGTTCTTCTCTTACTGGCACTTCCAGAAAAGTGACAGTAAAATGCCATGCACTATAAGCATCAATAAAAACTCTACTGCAGACAGCAAGTACATGCCCCTAACAAAGTAAGATGTATTTTGGCAGAAAAAAAATGTCAATCAAAAGCTTACTTGGAACAAGATGCAGTTTGTTTCTTCAAACTTTCTTGTAAATTTTTGCTGCCAATGAAAACCTGATCTTAACATACATGGGCACCAGAGGAAGTCGTAGGGGCCAGTAACTGTACAGTTTTTACATGTTAATCAGTACACAGGAATTAATCCTCAATCCTATTTCAATGTAGAAAAGAAAGAAAAAGGGATGGGATTAGGAAGGTAATTACATGCCCTTTATTAATTAAATTCCTTATTAAGAGTGAATATTCAGGTACGAAACAGTGACCACAGTATTTGTTTATTTAAAAGTCATTCACCTATCCTTGTTCTCAGGTAAACATGGCACAATTTACACAGGAGACTAGACAAACAGACTACTAAAAGAAACAAGATATTATTTAAAAGGCTCGTTACAGTAACTTTTTCCTGTTGGATTAAACACTTAAAACCCCGTGGTTTTACTGAAGTGGGAAAGCCAGCAGCCGCGAGAATTACGCCATCATGAAACCGGTGGCGGCTCACGCCTGCAACACCCCAGCCAACAGTTTTAACGCTGACTCTGAAGGAGTCCCCTCTCCCCCGTGCCGAGCCCTGCATCCCCCCAGGCTCGGGGCCACCCGGGAAGAGGCGAAGCCCCCGCGGGGCCGGGGCCGGGGCGCAGGCCTCAGCGAGGAAGGCGGCTCCACCGCCTGCCGGGGACACGAGCACCCCCCCCTTTCTCATCGCGATTTTGGAAAACCCAAGT